GAATGAGGGTAGGGGTGCATTGCATTACCAGAAGAGCGAAGGTGGGGTCACTGTGGGGTATGACTGTGCAGGGCTGGGGCAGCGCTTGGTGCAGCACTGATGCTTGGCATACTGCAAGGGGAAGGCTGAGCCAGAGCGAGTTGCCAGCGCTAGGACACCAGACACACAACAAGGATACGTCTATACTTACCTCCGGGTCCGGCGGTAAGCAATCGATCTTCTGGGATCGATTTGTCGTGTCTTGTCTAGACGCGATAAATCGATCCCGGATCAATCCCGGAAGTGCTCGCCGTCGACGCCGGTACTCCTGCTCCACGAGAGGAGTACGCGGAGTCGATGGGGGAGCCTGCCTGCCGCGTCTGGACCAGCGGTAAGTTCAAACTAAGGTACTTCGACTTCAGCTACGTTATTAACGTAGCTGAAGTTGTGTATCTTAGTTCAAAGTGGGGGGTTAGTGTGGACCAGGCCCAAGAAGGAACAAGAAGAAGGTCAGGGAAAGTGTGGGACCCTTACTGAATGGGGGAGGCAACATAGTGACAGATGATGTGGAAAAAGCTGAAGTACTCAATGCTTTTTTTGCCTCTGTCTTCACAGACAAGGTCAACTCCCAGACTGCTGCACTGGGCAACACAGTATGGGAAGGAGGTGAGCAGCCATCAGTGGTGAAAGAACAGGTTAAGGACTATTTAGAAAAGCTGGACATGCACAAGTCCATGGGGCCGGATGCAATGCATCCAAGGCTGCTGAGGGAGTTGGCTGATGTGATTGCAAAGCCATTGGCCATTATCTTTGAAAATTCGTGGTGATCTGGGGAGGTCCCAGACGACTGGAAAAAGGCAAATATAGTGCCCATAATTTAAAAAGGGAAGAAAGAGAACCCGGGGAACTACAGACCGGTCAGCCTCACTTCAGTCCCCGGCAAAATCATGGAGCAGGTCCTTAAGGAATCCATTTTGAAGCACTTGGAGGAGAGAAAGGTGATCAGGAACAGTCAACATGGATTCACCAAGGGCAAGTCATGCCTGACCAACCTGATTGCCTTCTATGATGAGATAACTGGCTCTGTGGATATGGGGAAAGTGGTAGATGTGATATATCTTGACTTTAGCATAGCTTTTGATATGGTCTCTAACAGTATTCTTGCCAGCAAGTTAAAGAAGTATGGATTATAAGGTGGATAGAAAGCTGGCTAGATTGTCGGGCTCAACAGGTAGTGATCAACGGCTAGATGTTTAGTTGGCAGCCGGTATCAAGCGGAGTGCACCAGGGGTCAGTCCTGGGGCTGGTTTTGTTCAACATCTTTATTAATTATCTGGATGATTGGATTAATTGCACCCTCAGCAAGTTCGCAGATGACACTATGCTGGGGGGAGAGGTAGATAGGCTGGAGGGTAGGGATAGGGTCCAGAGTGACCTAGACAAATTGGAGGATTGGGCCAAGAGAAATCTGATGAGGTTCAACAAGGACAAGTGCAGAGTCCTGCACTTAGGAAGGAACAATCCCATGCAGCGCTACAGGCTGTGGACCGACTGGCTAAGCAGCAGTTCTGTAGAAAAGGACCTGGGGATTACAGTGGATGAGAAGCTGGATCTGAGTCAGCAGTGTGCCCTCGTTGGCAAGGCCAATGGCATTTTGGGCTGCATTAGTACGAGTGTTGCCAGCAGATCGAGGGAAGTGATTATCCCCCTCTATTCGGCACTGGTGAGGCCTCATCTGGAGTATTGTGTCCAGTTTTGGTCCCCCCACTACAGAAGGGATGTGGACAAGTTGGAGAGAGTCCAGTGAAGGGCAACAAAAATGATTAGGGGGCTGGGGCACATGACTTATGAGGAGAGGCTGAGGGAACTGAGGTTATTTAGTCTTTAGAAGAGAAGAGTGAGGGGGGATTTGATAGCAGCCTTCAACTACCCGAAGGGGGATTCCAAAGAGGATGGAGCTTGGCTGTTCTCAGTGGTGGCAGGTGACAGAACAAGGAGTAATGGTCTCAAGTTGCAGTGGGGGAGGTCTAGGTTGGATATTAGGAAACACTATTTCAGGAGGAAGGTGGTGAAGCACTGCAATAGGTTACCTAGGGAGGTGGCGGAATCGCCTTCCTTAGAGGTGTTTAAGGTCAGGCTTGACAAAGCCCTGGCTGGGATGGTTTAGTTGGGGTCGGTCCTGCCTTGAGCAGGGGGTTGGACTAGAACCTCCTGAGGTCCCTTGCAGCTAGGGTGACCAGCCAGCAAGTGTGAAACATTGGGGCAGGCGGTAACAGGAGCCTATATAAGAAAAAGACCCCAAAATCGGGGCTGTCTCTATAAAACCGGGACATCTGGTCTCCCTACGCCGGCCCGGGGGTAAAGTTAACCGCAACCGCGATGGGCCATGCTGGGAACCGTAGTTTGCAACGGCAACCGCGGCAGTCGTTACACTCCAACTCCCAGCGTGCCCTGCGCTGCTGGCTGGCGTCACCGTGATGCGTTTCGACGCAGCCTCCCGCGCACCGCCCATGAACTGGGGGCCTCTCGCGCCGGGTTGTCAGGGAAAAAAGCTGCCGCCGCCGCTCGGCCTCTGCCATTGGGGGTTCGCAGCCCCTCCTCCGGCGCGGCGCGGCGGCTCCCTCCAGAGGCGGCCGGCAGCGGAGCCACGCGGGGCGCCACCCGCTCCCAGCCGGCGGGTCTCAGGCGGCGGCCGGGCGTGTCCCCCCGCTGTGCCCCCTGGGGTCCCAGTGCCGCCATCCCTCCCTCCCCAAATCTGTGCCGGCCCCTCCCCCACCTCCGGCCTGGCCCCGCCGCCCATGAGCCCTGGGGGTGGCTCATAACCAGACTCAGCCCCACCGAGCGCTTCTCCGGTGCAGCGAGAGCGGCCAGCCTCGTCCCTCCATGCGCCGCGGTGATGCTGCTGCGCCCTCCCTGCGGGTAACAGCGCCCAGCGCCTTCCGCTCCGGCCGGCCAAGATGTGGCAGAGCGTCGGGCTGACGCTGCTGGTGATCGTGGCCACCCTGGCCTGTGTGCTCTTGTTCATGCTGTGCGGTGAGTACGCACCCCTAGCTCTGTGTGTGTGTGTCCCTGCCCCGTGCTGCCCCGGTCCCTCTCCGCGGACTCCTCGTCGGCGTTGCCGGGGAAGGGAGGGGGGAGGAACATGGTGCTCGGTCAAGGGTCTCGCTCACAGCGCCCTCTTTGCTTGTTTTCAAATATTTGAGCCTTGAAATGTTTCCCGAGCTGAATTCACTACACCGATCGGAAGTTGACATCCTTTTGGGAAACGTGCTGCTCAACAGTTATTATCTGCTGATAGGACAGTATTGAGGGCCATAGAAATACTAATGAATGACTAAAAAAGCCTCCTACTAAAAACTGTGCTTTTTTATATTAAACCCCCCCACTAATTTGAGGTTAATTTGAGACTACAGGAAGGACCTTTATGGAGTCCCATAAAGATAGGCACTTAAGGATACTCTATAGGTGTCTCTTGTAATTTAAAAAATCAGAGAGAGAGCAGAATGTTGGATGTTCTGTAAGATGCAATCTGATCAGCTTCCTCATTTTCTTTACACTGCCATGGTAAACGTTGATTGGAATGCAGACCTTACGAAAAAAGCATGTAACAGGAGTGATGTTGAAAGACTAGGATTGCTCTGTAATATTCAGGCAGGCGGCTACACCAGCATCCTCCTCTCTCTCCCCCCATATATAACAAGTAGTAAGAACTTAACTGAAGAGTCTTATTAAATTCTTTGCATAAATGCTTTTTACCTGTCAGAAAATAAAATGATGTATTAAATTGATTAAAAATGCTTAAAGGATAGGAGCTTCCTCATCCTAAGTAAAATTTTGACTGAATTTAACGGACGTTTTAATAATTTGGAAACAGGTTATAGACAGAGAATTAGAGCTGCCAATGACTTTGTTGTTTATCTATATTGAAAGTGTACCCAGAGCAGGAAGCTGTTGTTTTCATTGACTTAGGAATCAGGCATATCTTTATCCTATCTCTCACAAGATGTACAGTCAATGCAGGTTACACAGGCTATTTACATATTTAGATGACAATTTTCCATCAGGACAGACCATTTGTTAGTAAGGATAATAAAATAACTTCTCTGAGTTGTTTGTTTTATTAGTCTTGAACTTGACAGGTGTTGAAAATCCCACAATCAACTTAACTGTGTTGAACTTATAGTACAGTAAGTTTTAGAGCAGTGGTTTTCAAACTTTTTTTTTCTGGTGACCCAGTTGAAGAAAATTGTTGATGTCCGTGACCCAGCAGAGCTAGGGATGAGGGGTTTGTGGTGTGGGAGGGGGCTCAGGGCTGGGGAAGAGGGTTAGAGTGCTGGGGTGAGGGCTGCAGGATGGGGCTGGGAATGAGGGGTTCAGGGTATGGGAGGGGGTTCTGGGCTGGGGCAGGGGGTTGGGTTGCAGGAGGGGGGTCAGGGCTCTGGGCTGGGGGTGCAGGCTCCGGGGTGGGGCTAGGGATGAGAGGTTTGGGGTGGAGAAGGGGGCTCTGGGTTTAGGGGGGGGCTCAGGGCTGGTGTAGGGGATTGGAGTGTGGGGTTGGGGCGCAGGCTTACCTCCAGTGGCTCCCAGTCAGCAGCGCAGCAGGGGTGCTAAGGCAGGCTTTCCGCCTGTCCTGGCACCACGGACTGCGCTGCGCCCCGGAAGCGGCCAGCAGCAGGTCCGGTTCCTAGGCGAAAGCGCGCAAGTGGCTCTGCATGGCTCTCATCTGCAGGCCCCACCTCCCACAGCAGAGCCAGTGCCCCGTGGCCCCCCTGCCGGACCTGCTGCTGGCTGCTTCCAGGGCACGACGCTGTGTCCGAACAGGAGGGACTACTAGATTTTAAAGGCCGGGTGCTGAGCAAGATGACCTAGTGCCTTGCATTCCACGACCCAAGATTTCCAACCCAGTAGTGGGTTGTGACCCAAAGTTTGAAAACCACTGTTTTAGAACCCTATCCTTCCAAGACTTCACACACGAGTAAGGGTTCTTGTGTTTGAATGTTGGCAGGATTGGGCCCTGAGTTTTCTAGTAACATAAGTACAGTAACTCCTCACTTAACGTAGTTATGTTCCTGAAAAATGCAACTTTAAGTGAAACGATGTTAAGCGAATCCAATTTCCCCATAAGAATGAATGTAAGTGGGGGGCGGGGTTAAGTTCCAGGGAAATTTTTTTTTTTTGCCATACAGTACAGTACTATAGTTGGGAGGTGCCCCCGCCTTAACCCACACAGGCACAGCCCACTGACACTGGAGACAATGAGGCAGGCAAGGAGGCGGAAGGTGCTGTAAGCTAGGAGAAGCACGTTGCGCAGCGGCAGCTTCCCCTACTCTGCAAGCAGGGGGCTCAACCCTCAGTCTGCCCACACCCCCTCTTCTCCCAAGCCCCACCCTTAACCCGCCTCTTCTTCCCCCCCGCCCCCTTTACTCTGCACGCCGCATCCTTGCTCCTCCCTCTCCTGCCTGCGGCAATCAGCTGACTTGCAGCGTGCAGGAGGCAGGCGGGAGGAGCGAGGACACGGCGCGCAGGCTCTCCCCTGCCTCCTGAACCAGAGGCGGGGAGGGAAGGGGTAGGTGCGCCGCGTCCTCGCTCCTCCCCCCTCCTGCCCGTGGCAATCAGCTGGCTTGCGATCTTCAGGGGGCAGGAGAGAGGGGGAGGAGCGAGGACTCAGTGCACAGACTCCCCCTGCCTCCTGTCTGTGGCAATCAGCTGGTTTGCGGCATTGGGGAAGGAGGGGGAGCCTGTGCGCCGAGTCCTCGCTCCTCCCCCCTCCCTCAACGCCGCAAGCCAGCTGATTGCCGCGGGCAGGAGGAGGGGGGGAAGGCGCTGATCCGTGGGGTATGCTGGCAGGCGGGAGGTGTGCGGGGGGAGGGGGGGCGTAGGGGACCTGATGGGGGGGCTGCCAGTGTGTACAAAGCAGGCAATCAAACGACGTTATAGCGAAGCATTGCACAACTTTAAATGGAGCATGTTCTGTAATTGAGCAGGGACGTAAGATCAAAACAACGTTAAGCGAGAGGACGTTAAGTGGGAAGTTACTGTAGAAGAGTCTCTGGTAATAACTGTGGTTTCTTGGGTGAAAAATGATTTACTGGGCACTCTCTCCAAGTTCATTGTTTTGGCAAATAGTCTAAATATTTGTATTGCCTCTTGCTATAATTCTTTCTGTGTGAGTGTTTAGAAGTCTTCAGTGGTAGATTAATTCTTCCCAGAAAGGACCTAACCCTAGTGCCACTAAAGTTAATGTTAAAACTCCTATTGATTTCAGTTGTACTGGTTTGGGCCCAATTTGCCTACATGCCACAATGCTAGTCACCATATAAATTGTTGTAATAGCAGTAATAAAGCTAACTTATTTCCATTTCACTTGAGTCATGTAGTGACTAGACGCCATTAGTAAGGGAGAGCCCCTTTTCTATCAAACCAAACTTGGTGGGGAAGCTGAGGTGTTAAAAGTATTCTGGGCCCTTTTTCAATACTTTTAATTCACATACAAAATCATAGCATGCATGGCCTAGGGAAGAGAGAATACATGTAGATTCAAATTGCAGAGTTAGCTATATATGCAAAACTTCAGAAAACTTTTGCTGAATCTTTTTGTCCGTTACAAACACTTCAGAATTTTTCAGTCATCTCTAGAAGTGGTTAAAAAATACAGTATCAATTATATTTATCATAATAAATGATGGTGGAATGAAAAATGATATTTAGCATTCATTGCTAAGATAATGTGTCTAAAATTGTGGGGTTTGTTTTGGTTTTGGGCTGTGGGGTTTGGTGTGGGGATTTTTTTTTAGGTTTTGTTCAGGAAATCTTGATTTAAATCAATTTTAATCTTGTTTTGCTTTTGTAATTTTTAGTTATTTTCCTAAAGAGAGGTTGATTCTCATTAGTTGGTAACTATTAAAACTTGCTGATTTGCAAATAAACATAGCCTTTACACTGATTTGGTACACTGATATGAGACAACAGATGACCCTTCAAATTCAAACCGCATAGGTCCAAATGAGCAGTCTTGGGTGGAGCTTCAATCCAGGAATCCAAGACTTTGTGTCTCTTTGCATATGTTCTTTGTGCCATAAGGTACCCCATCATACAGTTTAGTTTAACACTTACCCTATAACAGCAACTCGTGTCAAACAGTTTCAGCTTGACATGGTCCCTTCTCCACACCATCAAACTGCTGAATACTTCCTGTGATTTAAGGTAGCTTTGCATGCTTGGGCTACTAAGGAAGACTCAATACCGAGTTTAAATCGGTTAGTGTAGTAGTCTCAAAAAGCAGTTTAATATCACATCACTTAATACATTACAATGCTTTAGCTGAAACTGTTATTTACTACTAAGCATTTAACAAATATTTAAACAAATCTGCTTCAACAAGGCAACTTACATTTTCTATTAATGTTTGCATGCATATAGATATATACAGTAGACACCATTAAAAAGTTCACTACTTCATGAACACAGTTAAATTTATTTTTGCCACCCCCCCCCCCCCCCGTGCCCACAATGTGCTTTGCACTTAGACACAGGAAAGAAGTCATGTCCCTGTCCATGAATTCACCACAGCTCCATTGATTTCACCTTACTTCCCTGCCCCGACCCGCTACCAGTAGTAAAGTTATGCATGTGCTTAAATGTTTTCAGGATTGGGGCATGAGTTTTGTAGGGGGACTACTGCTAGTGTCATAATGAAATCAACTGTTGTGGCCTGTTACAGTGTTGTTTTTAGTGGTATATACTTTGAACTCTGTAGCCAATATATTTCATTTTTTGCTTATTGTCTATTCCTAACATATTAATGGAATAATACTGGCACTACATGTTCTTTTATCTAATTACAGAAAGATTTTTATAAAGGTTTAACCAAACGGGGAAAAATGTCTGATTCCTGTTTCAAAGGTGATGTGTACAACTCCTATTTGTAGTTACAAATTTATATTTAACACTTGGATCTGGTGGACATGTGTAGTGCTATTTGAATTTCCACTCTTTAACACAAATATGGTTAGTGTGTGCCATGCTGAATTAGT